TAAGGTGTCGTTTTCTTCTGTATTTTTTTTGGTACCTCTTTCATCAAGCAAGCTATTACTCTCCCTCTTTTACAGATAAGGAAACTAAGCCTCAGTAAGGTAAAGGGGTCATGTAGACTGGGACTTGAGCCCAGATGTGCCCTGACTCCAAGTCAAGAACTTGTCCCACTTCATCATGCTGCCTTGCCTCTAGATACTGCTGTTCTTACTGCTATTTCTGGAGCCTGGAGTGCAATCAGAAAAGGCTGTGAAGCTGTGTATGGAGGAGGTGGCGTCTGAGCTCAGTTTTGAAGGAAACTTAAGGACTGCATTCCAGGAACAGAAAAGTAAGGAGGGTGGAAATATAGGTGAGGGGTAGCTTGTGAAGGGATTTAAATGTTAAATAGAGGAATTTACATTTAATCCTTGAGGTAATAGGTAAGTGACACCTGAACTTTAAGAATATTACTTTGGCAGACACATAGAGAATGGATTGGAGAGAAACTTGAGGCAGGGAGATCAATTTGGGGCCAATGTGATAGTCCAGGCAAGAGAGGATGAGGGCCTGGATTGGAGTGTTGACTATATGAGTGTAGAATCAATAAGAGCTGGAAACTGATTGTAATGAGGGATGTGAGGGAGTTAGGAGTTGAATATGACTGAGGCTGTGAACCTGGGCAGCTGGAAGGATGGTGATGATTTCAACAGAAATAGGATTGTTCAGAAGATGGGTGGGCTTAGAGGGAATAATGAGATCTGCTGTAGATGTGTTGAGTTTGAGGTGGCTACAGGAATCCATTTTGAGATGTCTAAGAGGCAGCTAGAGATGTGTGACTGTAACTCTGCAGAAAGGTTAGGACTGACTATACAGATCTGAGAGTCATCCGCATAGATATGATAACTAAACCCCTGGGGGCTGATGAAGTCACCTAGAAAGAAAACAGAATAGGGGCTTGGCCAGAGCCTTGGAGAATACCAACAGTTAGCAAATGAGATACGGTTGATATGGCAAAAGATACTGAGAAGGAATGGTCAGATAGGTAACAGGAGAATTAAAAAACATTTAGTTAGCTTGTAGCCTACCCAGGTCTTTCTCTAGAAATAACAGATTTCTCTAGAAATACACAGATCAAAGAACTCTCCCCTATCCCTATTCCCTTCCTCCAAGTCTCAAGCAAATAGTCAAGTTAACAATCTCAGATGCAGTCACAGATGAGGGTCAGGTTTACTCCCCCAAACTGTGGCTCAACTCCATGTTATTTATTCCTCCAGCTCCAAGGCCACAAATTTGTTCCTGTTCTCTCCAGGAACTTCCCTTCTTTCTCCAGAAAGCTGAGTCCAGGAAGTACCTTTTGCCCCTCCTCCAGGAGACTGAGGCTCAGAAACTCATTACTCTGCCCCCAACTATTGTCACCTTTGGAATCATATTATTCTCTCTTCTGGGGCTACATGATTACCCTGCCCACAGTTATCTCTGAGACTCAACTAATGTCTCTCCACAGCTTAGCTTAGGAAGTCTTGCTATTATATCACTGCTGTGGCTACTCTCTGCTCTGAGGCCAAGAGGTTTGCTTTGTCTCTCCTCTGGGGTTGTGAAGTTGTGTAGTTCCGGGGCATTGGGGGCGGGGATGGACAACAGATAAGATTCATATTTTGGAAACCAAAGTCTATTCTCAAGCCTTTAGCCACTGCTCAGTTTTCTCCAGATTTCTCTGACCCTTTCAAAGATCTATCTACAGATCTTCTATAAGCTCGAGTCTCAGCATGGGTTTGATTTTACAATATCTTTCTCTAACAAAATCCTCTTCCTACTCCCACGCCCAGTCTCAATCCATCAATCAAAATATTTGCATCCATCAAGAAAGGACAATCAAAGTTCTTCCCACCTACCAAGAATCCAAAATCAAAGACCCAAACAGCGGTCGCAGCCTTGAAGCTTATCAGGTTGACCAGGCCATCTCTTCATTTCCCACCCTGCTTCACTCCTCTGGACTTCTCCATCATGCCTCCAGGAACCTTACCATTGTGAACCTCATCATCCTGCAAGATCAAATCAACCTTGGTACTTACACATCACCAGTACCCTTTGCTCCTCTGACTGGATGGTGCACCCAACAGCTTCAAAACCTGCATTTAAGGAGGAAGCCAAGCCAACCATCTCTTCATTTCCTACCTGGCTGCACTCCTTTGGATTTTTCCATCATATCCCCACACAGGGGACACCTTCAATTTGCAGCTTCCTTTGGGGTGTCATCTCCCCATTAGGTTATAAGTTTCTTGAGGGCAGGAACTTTTTCTTATTCATATTTATATCCCTAGTGCTTAGCACAGTGCCTGGCACATGGCTAACATATAATTAACTGCCCAACCAGTCACACACTTTAAGTAGGATTTCAACTCAAATGGCTTTATAACAGTGAAGATCCCATGGTTTCCTTTCTCTCTAGTCTTTTTTATTCGGGTTAAAGGTTCCAAAATATATGATACATTTCATAAAATAACTCACATTATAAAAATCAGTATACAGGGAAAACCTGAAAATATCCTACAATAATCTCATGCATTTCCATCATTGATGGTCCAGCCCAGAAATAGGATGACTGACACTGGAATTATAAAGTCAGCAATTATAAAGCCAGGCTCATCACTGCTGGCTATTACCCTATATCCTTCCTCCCCTTAGTTGTTAAATTCATTAAGAATAATGTCTACAACTGGTGCCTCCATTTCCTCTTTTTATACTCTTCTAAAACCTCTGCCATATGGCTTTAGACCTCATCATCCAACTGAAACTGCTTTCCTCAAAGTCACCAATGACCTATTGCCAAATCTAATCTTTTTCTTAATCCTTACCTCCTTGACCTCTCTATAGCATTTGACCCTGTGGAGCACCCCTCCCTTTTAGACACTTTCTTCTCTTTAGGGTTTTGTGACACCACTCTCTTCTGTTTCTCCTCCTATCTATTCAACTGTTCCTTCTCAGTCTCCTTTGTTGGCTCTTTATCCATATTATTCCCACTAACCAAGGGAGAAAGGGAATAAGCATTTATTAAGTGCACTCTATGTGCCAGGCACTGAGGCATGCACTGGGTTTACAAATACAAAGAACAAAACAATCTCTACTTGCAAGAAAATGGGTGTGCTGGGAGCCCTGGAGTTAGGAAGACCTAAATTCAAATCTGGCCTCAGATACATCCTAGCTATGTGACCCTGGGCAAGTCACTTAACCTTGTTTGCCTCCACTTTCTCATCTGTAAAATGAGCTGAAGGAGGAAATGTCACTCCAAGAAAACCCGCAATGAAGTCATGAAGAGTCAAAAATAACTAATCAGAAAAACAATTCTAATGGGAAAAAAAGAAGTAAATCTATACTTCTATTCAGAACAAATATAATTAAATACAAAGTAGTCAAGTTCAAGGTAATTTGGAAGAGAGGAATAAACACTTATTAAGTGTCTGCTAGTGCAGGGCACAGGCCTCAATGCTAGAGATACAAATATAATACTCTCAAGGTACTTACATTCTACTGGAGAAGCAACATGGGTTGATAAAGATATATGAAGAATAAATATAAAGATAATAAATCCAAGGGAGTTAGGGCACAAAGAGTTGGTGGGGCCAGGAGGTGGTCCAGAAGTAGAAGGTGAATCTTGAGCTATGTCTTGAAGGAAAAGAAGGATGCTTTTAAAGCCCATCATAACTTGGCCACTTCCTACCTGTCTAGTCACCTTATGCCCTACTTTCCTCTACATACTCTGTAGTTCAGGGACACCAACCTCCAAGGTGTTGCTTATGTTTGGAACTCCTCCTCTATACCTCCTGGCTTCCTTCAAGTCTCAGCTAAAATCTCACCTGCAAGAAGTCTTTCCCAGTCTGTCTCAACACCTCCAATTTATTTTTTACATACTTTGTTTGTATACTGTGGTCTCCATCCCCCAATTATAAGCTTCTTGAGGACAAGGGCTGTTTTTGTCTTTCTTTGTAACCCTAACACTTAGCACAATGTCAGGTATGTAGTAAGTTCTTACTAAATGCTTGTCTTAACTCTAAGGAGAAAATGAAAAAGGAATGAATGCCAGGGATGGCAGACGGCTTATGTAAAGGCTTGTATAAAGAGAGATGGGAGATGAGATGCCGTTTGTGAGGGACAGCAAGAAGGCCAGTTTGGTTGAACTACAGAGTGCAGTGAAGAGAATATATGTAATGAGGCCAGAAAGATAGGTTCTAGTCAGGTTGTGAAGAGTTTTATAAATTAAAGAAGCGAATTTACATTTTATCATAGTGGCAAGAAGAAACCATTGGTGTTTACTGAATAAGAGAGTAACATGATCGGATCTGTACTTAAAAAAAATCACTTTGGCAGGTGAATGGAAGATAAAGTGTGAAAAAACTTGAGCCAGGGAGAATAACTTGGAAGTTGCTGCAATAGCCTGGGCAAGAGGCAATATGGGCCTGAATTACGGTGGTGGCTGTGTGAGCAGAAATGATGAGAGGTGGAAAAGGCAAGACTTGACAACTGACTACAGAACTGATGTTCTGTAATAAAATAAGGGAGAATGCGGAGTCTAGGATAATGACAAGGTAATGAACTTGTGAGACAGAAAGGAGAGTATTTACTTCCACAAAGAATTTGTGAATTTAAATGAGTTTATTTATCAAATGCACTACAGACAAATAAAAAAGCTTGGAAATGAATTGCAACTAAAGTTCATTGTGCATTTTCTGTTCTTACAAGATATTTTGTAGATGAATCTGTGATACTTCAGTGAGCAGAGGATACATGCATCCATTAGAATAGGAACAAGGATTTCTGGTGTGACAAAATAAAAATGTTTCTGTACAGAATTTCAAATGAGGAAAAAAAATAAATTTGATGCTAACTATGAAGCCCAAGTAGAATTTAAGACAAGGATTAGGATGGATAACATATACAACATAACCAACATAGAACATTTGTAACGCTAACTTTAGAATAACTCAGAACGCACATCACAGTATAAAAAAGTCAATGCTTTGCTTACTGTTTGAGATTTCTTCTTTTTCTTTTTCATGGATCTAAAAAAGCCCTGCTTCTCCTTCTCCTTGAGTTGTTCAGCATGACTAATATTTTCAGGGCTTTTCCTAAATGGAAAAACATTTTAATTGTGTTAATAAACTTTTAATCATTTTTCATATGACAAAGAAAAATGTTACTATCCAAAATGTCTGACTTTAGGCTTAAAAAGAGCTACATAAAGAACTAAGCAAGAAAAAATGCAAAAATATTCTCATGGAAACTAAGCATGTTAAGATTGCAGTTATTCTAGTCAGAGTTAATGGAACCAATCTACTACTTTAGCAGAGGTTATGGAATGATACCATGTTGATTAGAACTCCTACCATTCAAGATTCTGAATAACATGTGAATTAAAAGGTTGATCATCTACAAAGCAGAACTGCAGGCATTTTGATACATTTCCCATTAAACCCACAACTGGAAAAACTGTAATTAAGCATAAAAATAGTATTTCTACTTAGTCATTGTGGAAAAAAAAAGTCAAATATTTAAAAACTAGGTTTCCTTTAAAGCCCAATTAAGAAAAATAGCAAACTGGGAGGGAGGGGGGTGGAGAAAAACTACATATAATGTGTTTTATCACCAAGAAATATTAAGGAGAAAAAAAAAGGTTTTGAGTTGAACTACTGATGTAAGCTTACATCCAATGGCACTGATAAATATTATTTTAATGAAAAATGAAAAAAGCTAGAAATAGATAATATTAATAATAATTCATTTACTTTAATGCTAAAAAGAGGGATTATATCACTTAGTTTAATTATTTTTCACAAGGTTATTTTGAAAATCAAATGAGATAAATTGTGTAAAAGTAGTTGGACAAATACCCATATAAATGTACACTATTATTATTTTTAAAGCAGTTGAACTATAATTATCCTGCAAGTAGAAATTTTGCCTACTTTCATAAAATTATGAAAAATTATAACTACAAATAAAATAAAAAGTTACTTTTTTCCATGAAGAATTTTATCCTTTTATACTTAACACCTAAAGCAGACCAAGAGCAGAAAATTAAAAAAAAAAAACTTTTACTGAATGAGGCAATTAAAGGAACTGCAGTTAATCCAAATTTGTGTCTTTAAGAACACATAATATCAATTTATGGATTAAAAGAAATAAGGACATATCCACAAAGTAGACACCTTCTGCCTACATTTGGCTAAATCAAAACACAAATGGGAAAAAGAATGAAAAGGACCATGGTAAAATCAATTTATAAAAATAGGACACCAAAATCAAGGGCAAGGGGGAACAGATAGAAAGAAATGTGAATGTTAGAGGCAAGAAAAATGACTGACATAACAATGGTTTTTTGTGCATTTGGAGCATAAAACTGCTTCAGTAATTAATAGATGAAATTGAAAAGAATATTCTAAGGAAGTACAATTTCCCTTAGGAAAACTTTCCAAGTGCCTGTGAATATTATTAAAAAGAGGGTAACATTTTTTCACAGCATTTCCCCCCACTCTATTTCATTATAATACAAAAAGCAAGACAATGTTCTACCTCTTGAAGTAGATATCTTTAAGCAAAAAAATACTTTTGGTAGTCAATTCAGATTGATAGTCCTTAATAACGGAAATTTTCAAACATGAGGGGTATAGAGAGAATTGAAGATTCTCCAATGACAACAATGACAAGGAGTGATTCTCTAAATGATTCTTTGAGGTGTTACTAAGGAGATGGCTAGCTCCTTCAAACACAATGAGCAGATCATTAAATTACTGAAATTTCATGCTTCCTAATGAGTGAATCCCCCTAATTACAAGGCCTTTGTGGAATACCAATAATGATATCCCTCTTTGAAAGGGATCTAAGACTTTATATACTAGTCTGTATTTCATGGCAAAATTATAGAGAGGCCCCAGTGCAGAAACAACAATATTATCATTCTTCTTTTATTTGTAAAATATGCAGATGTAAATATCAATTTCCTTTCTTGATAATGCTAAATAAACAAAATAAGCATTGTCATATATGCCCCAGGATCACAGAAGAATTCTTAAAGATAGATTCCATCAACTGATGTAACACTCTAACCAAATTTCAAAGGTTTTAGCTCGTGCTTATGACCAAAAAAACTTTCCCTAAGTCTTTTTTAAATGAAATTCAAAGAGAAAGAAACTAGGATGACCTGACAAAAGATATGAAGAGTAGGGGCAACTAATAAACAAGATAAAATAGCTAAAGGCAACCTAGAACATACCAGAAACTAAGCTCAGAGAATATAAGCGTGATATTTTGTCCCTAAAATAGAAGAAAAGTTAAAATATTTACACAAGCAAGATGAAATAACGCGTATCAGTGGGGCTGGGGTTCAGGTTGCTATACAAAGAATTTTCATTATGAAGCTAGAGGGATAAGGGTTCAGACTAGTTTTGAAGTCTACATTTTGAATACATTTGAAGTCACTTTTTCTTATGGTTAAAAACTCCTGGTGGTAGAGCCAAGATGGAAGAGTAAAAGCAGTGACATGCTTGAGCTCTCCCCTAAACCCCTCCAAATATCTGTAAAAAATGGCTCTAAACAAATTCTAGTGCAGCAGAACCCACAAAAAGTCAGAGTGAAACAAACTTCCAGCCCAAGACAACTTGGGTGGTTGATTGGAAAGGTCTGCTGCGCCAGGTTGGGAGAGGAGTGCAGTTCAGTGTGGGCCATGCAGGCAAAGACAGGGCCTCAGAGAACCTGGAGCAGTCCTCAGAGGACTAAATCACCAGCAGCTATAGTGGTTTCCAGACTTCTCAATCCACAAACACCAAAGACAACTCAGAAGGTCAGTAGGAAAGGTCTGTCCGACCTCGGTGAGAGAGAAGCGTAGTCCAGCCCCAGTCCTGGCACAGTTGTGGGGTGGTGGCTGCTTCTGGATCTCTTGGCCCACGGACAGAGGGGGGGTTCCAGCATCTGATCAGAGGGGGATTGCAGGGATCTCTTTGCTGGTGCTGAGACAGGATTCTCTTGCTTTACTCCTTCTTGGATCTGGGTTGCAGTCTTGGGGTAAGGAGGGGTGCTGGTGTGGTGAAGAGAGAATTCTCCTCACAGTTCCAAGGCAGAAAAGAGTGCTTGTGGTCACTCACAGACCAAAGCACAGACCAGAAAAGGAGTAAACACCTTGCCTTAGATCATACCACCTTGGAAGAACTGAAAATTTACAGGTCCCTAGAAGTACATCTGAAAATAGCTGCACAAAACCCCTGAAGCTTGGGACAGTACAACCTCCACACTGGAGATAGACCCGAACTTTAACAAAACCTTAACAAAGAATTAAGGCTGGGAACATGAGCAAACCACAGAGAAAAAAGTCAGACCATAGAATCTTACTTTGGTGACAAAGAAGATCAAAACATGCAACCAGAAGACAACAAAGTCAAAGTTTCTACATCCAAAGCCTCCAAGAAAAATATGAATCAGTCCCAAAACATGGAAGAGCTCAAAAAGGATTTTGAAAATCAAGTAAGAAAAAGAGAGGAAAAACTGGGAAGAGAAATGAGAGTGGTACAAGAAAGTCATGAAAAACAAGTCAACAGCTTGATAAAGGAGACCTAAAAAAATACTGAAGAAAATAACACCTTAAATAATAGACTAACCCAAATGGCAAAAGAGGTCCAAAAAGCCAATGAAGAGAAGAATACTTTAAAAAGCAGAATTGACCAAATAGAAAACGAAGTCCAAAAGCTTACTGAAGAAAATAATTTCTTTAAAATTAGAATGGAGCAAATGGAAGCTAATGACTTTATGAGGAATCAAGAAACTATAAAACAAAACCAAAAGAATGAAAAAATAGAAGACAATGTGAAATATCTCACTGGAAAAACAATTGACCTGGAAAACAGAATCAGGAGAGATCATTTAAAAATTATTGGACTACCTGAAAGCCATGATCAAAAAAAGGGCCTAGACATCATCTTTCAAGAAATTATCAAAGAATACTGCCCTAAGAGGGTAAAATAGAAATTGAAAGAATCCACCAATCACCTCCTGAAAGAGATTCGCAAAGGAAAACTCCTAGGAATACTGTAGCCAAATTCCAGAGTTCCCAGGTCAAGGAGAAAATATTGCAAGCAGCCAGAAAGAAACAATTCAAGTATTGTAGAAACATAATCAAGATAACACAAGATTTAGAAGCTTCTACATTAAGGGATAGAAGAACTTGGAATATGATATTCCAGATGTCAAAGGAGCTAGGACTAAAACCAAGAATCACTTACCCAGCAAAACTGAGTACAATTCTTCAGGGGAAAAAATGGACATTCAGTGAAATAGAGGAATTTCAAGTATTCTTGATGAAAAGACCAGAGCTGAATAGAAAATCTGACTTTCTGATACAAGACTCAAGAGACACATGGAAAGGTAAATAGGAAAGAGAAATCATAAGGGACTTATTAAAGTTAAACTGTTTAAATTCTTACATGGAAAGAGATGATATTTGTAACTCATGAGACCTTTCTCAGGATTAGGGTAGTTAGAGGGGAAAAAGAAATACATATTTTATATATATATACAGATAGATATAGATATGCATATATAGATTATATATATAGACAGAGGGCACAGGGTGAGTTGAAGATGAAAGGATGATATCTAAAAAATAAAATTAAGGGGTGAGAGAGGATTATACTGGGAGAAGGAGAAAGGGAGAGGTAGAATGGGGTAAATTATCTCACATAAAACAGACAAGAAAAAGGTTTCATAGTAGAGGGGAAGTGGGGGAAGGTGAAAGGGAATGAGTGAATCTTACTCTCATCGGATTTGGCTTAAGGAGGGAATAACATACACACTCAATTAGGTATGGAAATCTATCTTATAGGAAAATAGGAGGGAAGGGAATAAAAGAGGAGGAGATGATAGAAGGGAGGGCAGATTGGGGGAGGGATAATCAGAAGCAAACACTTTTGAGGAGGGATAGGGTCAAAGGAAAGAATAGAATAAATGGGGGGGGTGGGATAGGATGAAGGGAAATATAGTTTTTCACAACATGCCTATTATGGAAGTGTTTTTCATGACTATACATGTATAACCTGTATCAAGTTGCTTGCCTTCTCAATGATGGTGACTGGGGAGGGAG